GAGATAAAATTTGTTTCTTTCTTTAAACATTTGCTTTATATGAAATTTGGCCTAACAGTGACCGGTAGCTTCCAGTGTTTGATGATGTAATCCATACTGTCCCAACTCTCAATTGTTTTGCACGCTTGTAACCTGCGCACTCAAACACTGTGTGCACTTGGACTGAATCCACACTTCAGAGGGGCGTAGGGTGGCACTGAGCATTGGGACCGGGCCTCTCTGACTCAGTGACAGTACAGACTGTCATTTATAGAGCTTCGAAAAAGTATTCATACCCCTTGAATGAACTTGGTTACATTTTGCATTTATTATCTGATCAGAGCAGCTTCTTCTCTGTTTGCTGTTTTCCTACATGGCTTGTGTCCAACTGTAAACAGGACTTCTGATGTCTTTCTTYGTGCTGCTCTTCCATAACGTTCAGACTTGTGGACTGAACCACAGATAGTTGTCGTGTGGACATATTGTCCCACCTGAGCTGTGGACCTCGGCAGCAGCTTCTCAGATTAACGCTGTCCTTGTCCGGTCTGTTGGTTCAGGTGGACGGTTGTGTCTCAGTAGGTCTGCAGTTGAGTCATCTTAGTTTCAGACGATGGAGAACGGTGAGATGTTCAAGTTTTATAATCAAACCCTGCTTTAAACTTCAAACCCTTCATCCCTGACCTGTCTGGTGTGTTCCTTGGTCTTCATGATGCCGTTTGATCAGTTGTTGTGTAACAAAGCCTCACAGAACAGCAGGATTTATACTAAGATTAAAATACACACAGATGTGTTTTAGGTAGTAAATAAAGGTGGTTGTGGATACTTTTAAATAGTAAAAGAAAAATTGAGAACATAGTATCATTTTCTTCCACTTCACAATTATTCATAACTTTGTGTTGGTCCATCACTTAAAATCCCAATGTGACAAAATGTTCAAGGGGTGTGAATAGTTTTGCACGTATCAGGCCAACAAAATGGATTTAGTTTTAAATGGACTGAGTTAGGGTTAGGGTTAGACTCATGACTTTAAGCTGTATTTATTTATTTATTGTTATGCATCGATGCGTCATCATCAGTTGATTAATTAAAGGGAAAATAATGTAAAAAAAGGGATTAGTTGGTTTAAATTCAAACCATGTTACTCTGGTTTGATGAATAGATTTTGCACTTTTTACAAATATCAGAAACTGTAAAGAAAATGTAGCTCATTGTCTTCATTCACTTCTTGCTGCAGTGACGTTTAACAGATGGAGATCTTGTGATGAAGGTTTAAAAGCTGCAGCTGATTATCTGCCGTTAGTTCAATTATTTAACTGATTTATTTATTTAAGCCCCTCCTGGTTCATTATGGTGGGCTGAAGCTTCAGATGTTTACTGTTTATTAAACTGCAGGTGAAAAGTTGTTTCTGTGGACTTGAATAAGTGACACATTAGTGATATTGTTGTTAAAAACACAGATTCTGTACTTTAATCTGTCCGAGCCTTAGACCTGCCAACTTTAATCACCTGCCTTAGTTCTGATTGATCATAAAAACAACTTATTTTTGCCAAAAAGTCTTTGTTCCTCTTCACCATAATGCCATGGCTCTTTTTAAAGTTTATCTGTGCTAAACGTTTTATTTCATTATTTTTAAGCTGTTTATGTTTACACACCACTGTCATTAACTTAAAGTTTTATTTATTAATTTATTGGGCGTAGTGCATTTGTATAGATTTAAAAATAAACCCGTGTATTTATCCAGTTGTACTCACTGATGTGCTGAGTCTGCAGTTTGTCAAACTTCTCCATGTGTGGCTTCCTGCTGTTGCACAACCAACAACTGATCAATAAACTCATTAAAGCTGATTCAGCTTTGTTGCTCTTCATTGTCTTTAAAGTGTCTGATTAAGAAAAATATATTTAAAAAGTCGACTTGTCAATATATATATTGATGAGCCGACACTGCCTCCAAACATCAGCTGTGACACCTCTGATGAAGACAGAAGTACACGTCGAAACATGTCAGGTATGTCTGTATAGACATAAATAAAAAAAGTGTCTAGTAATTAGGAAAATGTAGTAGATTAAATTTATAGACACAATGAACCTTATTAGATTATATTAAAAAAGATCAAGTTTGTGGACAAGTTTTTATTGTTTTGTTTTTATTAACAAAAACCAAGTTAAAACCTATAAAATCTCAGTGATACTGGTAATTCTATTTTACAACATGATTAAAAAAAGACAACATTTGCAGAAAAATAAATAAAATATTTTTGGGTCAAACTGTGTTGATTTATTTTTGCTTTAACAATAAAATCAAATCTTCACATGACTCATGTTTGCTCAGTGCCACGCTGATCTTCTGCCCAGAACACGGTTTGTGATTCTCTGGAACACACACACACACACAGAAACACAAACACACACAGAGAAACACAAACACACACAGAGAGAACACGGTTAGTAGTTCTGCTGCTGCATGTCTTCTAACTGGGACATGAGAGTTTGAGCCTCCCTGCACATCAGGATTTGTTTTAAAAAAATTTTTTTGTTTTTCGTGTGCTGCACGGTGCCATTGCTGTGCACTGAGTTTTGACTCAGAGCATCCATGAATAGTGGTAAAAAGGAGATGCAGCAGACAGTCAAGCAAGGAATATCAAAAAGGGATTCAATATTTTGCCATAAATTGTCAACACTACAACAACAAGATCAAGGTTGTCACATTTTACAGGTCATTAAAATATATATCGGTATATATATATATATATTTTTTTTTTTTAAATGGCAGAGATCCAGAAAGTAGGTCAATTATTGTTATGCTAGATTTTGAAAACCTTATGTCGGGTAAACCCATGAAAAGACAAATTTGCTGTTCCAACAAATTATTATATTTTTATTGTTGTTATGTTAGGATAACATTGTGAGAGGTTGTAAATTCAATTCAATTCAAATTCAATTCAAAAATACTTTATTGCTGGATGAATTTGAAACTTCAGGTTCCTTTTAAGAGCAATCATTTCAGATTTCAACTGAAAGTCTAAATTATAATTGAACCTCAATACTATGACACACGTGGTGGAAAGGGGCTTCTACAGTAAATGCATCAACAAAAACCTATAATGAAAAGTTCCTAGACTGCTTATAGAATTATCTCTTGGGTAAATACATATTTTTTTACATACATACATACATCTGCAATTTTCTCAGYTTTAATTTAAGCCATATTTTATAGAAATCAGATTGTGACAGATTGATGCACATCCCTCATTGAAACTGTAGTTTTGTTGACACGACTCAGTGAATAGTAATGGCGCCTGTGGAGGCGTGTCGCTAGCTATAGCGGCTAATAGGCGATGTCCAGTCCAGTAAAACAGATGAATGTTACAAACGCTCTGGATCCCTCAGGTCAGCTGATCTGCTGCTCCTGACTGTAAGCTCAGAGGTGACCGTGCTTTTTCTGTGGCAGCTCCTAAATATGGAACAACCTTCATTTGACCATCAGACAGACCTCGTCCCTGTCTCTTTTAAAATCTCTACTTTAAACCTGTCTCTTCTTTTAATATCATTTGTAATGTTGATTTTTAAATAGTTTAATTATTTACCTCCATAMAGCTATACTGYTGTATTATGTGTACAGYACTTTGGTCCTATGGGTGGGTAAAGTGCTCTAAATAAAGCTGGTATGGTACGGTTCATATGGCCTACAGGATGAACAAACAGTCACGTTGAGGATTTCAGATCATTTCTTGGCTGCTGACAGTTCTTTAAATCATTTTTTCTTSACTACAATCAAATCTTGCAAAYGAAAAGCTTGTTCGTACCTTGTTGTAGAGCTGGGCGTTCAGTCTGTAGGACTGATACTCTGCTTTCCTTCGTTCCTCCTCTCTCCTCTCTCGCACCTCTGGTAGAGTCTCATATATTCTGAAACAAGAAAAGCAAACATGAAGATCTGATGCTAACTGTTAGCATYGGAAATGTTTTAGCTTTGAGTTCAAATGTAACACTGGCACACTGTGAACCAGTGTTCATTAATTATTTTACATATGTCTCATTGCATCCAATCAGGAATTAGGTTGGATTGTGTGTCAGCACAGGTGTGTCTGTGACGTCATCACAAGTCTACATAATTAGTTTAATAACTATGAAGAGTCAAAACCAGGAAGTCAGTAAGCAACAAATACATTAAGATTAAACATTTACTTTAGAAAAATCTAATTATGTTAGAATAACATCTTGAACGAACAGTTCGATGGAAAATAAAAAATAAAGACTTACTGTTTGGACCTCTGGATCATCTCCTTCCTGGGAACAGCTCTCTTCAGCAGAGCAGTGCCTTCACAGAGAAGCAAACAGAAGCAGATATCAGCTGCTGCACATGGACCTATTCAGCTGAAAGAGGCCGTGTGCAGAGAACCAGTTTATTAACGGGGTGCTGACTCTGCAGACCTGCAGGTTTTGGCAGCCTGGCGGGCCTCCCGGGCTGGTTGAACAGGTTCCTCTCTGTGATGAAGTCAGCCTGAAGCCTCCTCTCCTGCCTCTGYAGAGCCAGACGCATCAGCCTCTGCCTGGACCGGGAGATGAACTCTGGTCGGTGCATCATCAAAGACTCCTGCAGGATGGTGGAACACAAGGCTGTCAGCATGGCAGCAGACCCACGCTTCAGGTCGGTTCATGTTTTATACGTCTGGGAATATTTGAAATAATCACTAATGTTTACGTTAAAAAGACAAAGGAATCGAGGATTTCATGAGTCTAAAAATGGTCCAACCTGCAGAGAGACCCGTACGAGACCAGAGGACACTGTTCTGGTTTTAGGAGCTGGATCAGGCTCAGGTGGATCTGTCAAACGGGACTGGTGGTCTCTGTCCTCGTGGAGCTGTTTCTGTCTGAGGGGGGCTCTCCATGGACTGACCCTGCTGTAGGGTTCAAACCAGGCCGTGCTCCGGCTCCAGCAAGCAGCCGGACGGTTCTCCTTCCTCGTCTCTGACCTCAGGCCGTCAGCAGAGATGAACCATGAAACCCCTGTGGAGCAGAAACTCACCCAGATGTAGTTTTTATTCAGTTATCACCGTCTTCACACGACGACTGGTCGGGTTTACAGCAGCAGAACACTGACGGCTACCTTTAGGGTACGGCTTGGAGGGGCTCCTCTTCTTTCTTTGCATTTGGTTGCTGTGAGCTTTAGACGGACTCATTCGCCCTCCTCTTCCTCTCACCGTGTCCGACGAAGAGGAGGAGGAGATCTGCCCTGAAGCTCTGGCTTCACCAGGAGAAGGAAMCGTGGTTCCAACATCTCTGGTGTGTCGGCGAGTCCCGTTCCTCACAGCCTCCAGGTCACCTGAGGAGAGACGGAACAAAATAATAAATAAAAATAATGTTAAGTTTGATCATATGTGAAAAGACTTTTCATTTTTTACAACAATGATCAAATGTAATTTATGTAAATTACCCTCAAACATTTTTCTCATTCTTAATGCTGAATTTACAGAAAGAGACAGAAAATACAAACGTTCAGAGGGACTGACCTGTCTGCACACTTTTGCTGACCAGTTTTACTTTCCTCTTGGCTGTCAGAGCTCTGGAAGGTCCGTGGTGTGACGGGACCGTGCTGGATGATGATGATGATGATGATGATGCTGAATCAGGAGCAACCTGAAGACAGGATTTACTCATCACTTTCATACAAATATAAGAAGCTCGTCTTTCATATTAAGCCGCTGCTGTTGAGACATTATGGAACGACAGCATTAATATTTAAACTGGAGGAGGTAAAGCTAGTTAAGTGGATTATAATAAATGTGTGTAATCCATCTCAGAGCAGAACTGAGGACAGGAAGTTACAGGTCTACATACGGATTGGTCGGTGCCAGTGTGTGATGGAGCGACGTCATGAAGTCGATCTGTGTCTCTTTCTCTCTGCTGCTGCTTGTTGATGGTGCCGTACAGCTTACTGAGGCTGGAGCTGCTTTTCAGGCGCTGCACCCGGTGGGGTCCGAAGGCTCGGATCAGTCGCGCCGTGTCCACGGTGGACATRGAGCCCGACACGGCCGATGAGGTCTCCGACTCGTCTCTGTCTGCTGGCGAGAGCTGGGGGGTCCGGGAGGAGCTGGAGGCATGGCCATCGTTTTCTCCCACCTGCAGCCCACGGTGAACGTGAGGTTCTCCGACCGTCCCCTCCTCTGTGAAGACATCACGTTTGCTCCTCCGAGTCCTCCTGAGCGGCCCCTCTACATGATAGCCCCGCCCCTCCTGTGCGTCGCTCTCTGTGTGATGAAGAAGACGAGACAGGCGCTCCAAGCGCATCAGCAGTGAAGCCTCTCTGTCTCTGGCAGGATGGGACACCTCTGCTGTCCACTGATGACAGAACCTCTGCCACAGGTGGTCCAGAGTTCTGCTGCTCTGTGCGGGGTCCAGCTGAGGGAGGTCTGGCTCTCCTCTCCTCTGGGAGACCGGGGGTTGGACAGTTTCTATGTGGAGCCGGTGAAATCTCTCAGGACTGGTCTCTGGTGGTCTGTGTTGGGGGTACTGGACTGGGCTGGTGCCCTGGTCTCTTGTGGAGACTTTGTGGTTCTGTGGAGGCGCTCGGGTGAAGTTTGTTGAGGCATCAACTGTGGAAGCAGACAGAAAACCCATGATTTACTCTTCTGTGGTGTCAGCACACATTTAACAAACAGGACACTGTGCTGAAACATTTTAATAAAAACACAAAACTCAACTGAAATTAAATTTTGTTTGTGTGATTTCCAAAGTTATATACAGTTATATATTTAAAAAAAAGTTATATACAGTTATATATTTATAAAAAGTTATATATAGTTATATATT